GMGCRYGMATSAWTCATTGCGTGCGTCTGTGATGGATCGATTTTTGAAGAAGCCGAGAGAACTAAMAACTTCACAAAATGATTGACGTTTCGTGCTCATCGGATATCAACCGCACCAACCAAAACGACCGGTATTTTGGATTCTTATTGATCGTCCGTCGTCGTCTCCGTTGAATGATTTGGCCGATTAGCATTCCTACCACTTTTACAGGTATAACTGCAAAACTTTACTTTCATTGATAGGACAAACAAGACCCAACACAAAAACACAACAACAGCTTGATATTATAGCAAAATGAAGTTTCTTCGTTCCASGCTCTCCTTGCTGGCGATGGCTGCTCCATCGCTGGCCTTTGTTCAACCCTCACTGCCGGTCCAGGTATGTGGTGATTTGTTTATTTTGGCTTGYCGGATGCTATTTTTTTGGTGTCCTTGTTTCTCTGACACCCATTCTCATGTATCGAAAATCCAAAACCTGAAACACAATGCYATCGAACGAATCAACAGCGATCGGCTTCCATGGGTGCACTGAACATGGAAGAAGTCAAAATCGGTATTTTTGGAGGAGGTACTGTCGGCGGAGGAATCGTCGAAATCATCGAATCCAAACGAGAACACTTCCAAAAGATGACCGGAAAGAACCTCAACGTGAAGTCSATCTGCGTCCGTGATCTCGAAAAAMCCCGTGACTTTACCGTTCCCGAGGGATGCAAAATCACAACCAACTTTGATGACATTTTGGGCGACGACTCTCTCGATATCATTGTCGAAGTCATGGGAGGCACCACCCTTGCCAACGACGTTGTCTGCAAGGCTCTCGAAAACGGTCAGCACGTTGTGACCGCCAACAAGGCCTTGATTGCCGAMAAATTGRCCGACATCGAAGGCTTGATCAGCAAGGTCAACGAAGGCCGAGAGGGCGACGCCGTTGAATTCCGTTACGAAGCTGCCGTCTGCGGTGGTATTCCAATCATCCGATCCCTCCAATCCGATGTTGTCGGAGACGAGATCGAGATGCTCAGCGGAATCATCAATGGGTGCACTAATTTCATGCTTACCGCCATGGATGTCCACGGACAATCCTATGATGAAGCCCTGTCGGAGGCTTCTGATTTGGGATACGCCGAAGCCGACCCCACCCTCGATGTCGGTGGTTTCGACGCCCGATCCAAACTCAAGATCCTTATGCGATTGGCCTACGGTATCGATGTGGACGAGGACGACATCAGCTGCCGTGGAATCACGGAACTCACCAAGCTCGACTTCCAGTACGCCAAGATGATGGGAGGAACCATCAAACTGGTCGGAGTTGCCAAGTCCGTGTCCGACGGAAAGGTCGCTGCCTTTGTCTCCCCCGCGTACATTACCCAGAGCGATTCCTTGTTTTCCGTCAGCGGAGCCACCAACGCGGTCGAAATCATCTCGAAAAATCTGCAAACGACAACATTGATCGGACAGGGTGCGGGCCGTTTCCCCACCGCCAACTCGTGCATCAACGACATCGTCGCGCTCGCGAAGGGCGACAAGACGCCCCTCCCCTTCAACCCCACCGCGGACAACGTTCAGTTTGTCAACAACTACGAATCCAACTTTTTCATCCGCCTGAAATACAGAGACGCCCTCGGAATCACGAGACAGGTGGGAGAGGTCTGCGAGAAGTACGGGGTCTCCATCCATTCCATCCTGCAAAACCCCATCACCAGCCGCGACGACGCCGCCTTTGCCATCATCACCGAGAAGGTCCCSATCTCGAGCGTGAAAAAATTCTGCGCCGASATCGAGGAACTCGACTGGTGCCGTGGCCCCTCCTTTTACATGCCAGTGCTCCGAGAAGACTGGGAATCCGATTTGGTCTAAGAGCCATCGTAGCACAATAGCAACAATAATGCCAATATTGTATGATTCGATGCATGCTTATCGCGAATATTTTCGTAGTGGTATCCTTTAGKACAGAGAATGTCGAAGGAACGAACTATTTACTTAGAGCAACGAGTACGTACACACATATATTCGTTCGAATCAAAATATCGACAAAGTGTAGGGTACTGTTTGAAGGAGATTCGTGCGGAGAAAGAGACCGTTTTGTTTCCCTCCATGCAGTGGAGGTTCTGATCTCCCTCTCACAACTCGAGAAAAGCACCTTGTCGRAACGTTGGCGCTTCCCGTGTCACGTCAACGTCGCCGGCAACAGGATATTCGATCAATCTAGCTCGCGGTCCYCGGAAAACCTAGAAACTGGTCGATTGTTACCTCCGCAGCRTTCCCCAACGAGAAACTGAGTGATGACAAGATTGATTTTTTTGTCCTAATTTCTCCTTGGTCTTCTGATAATTTCACGCCTTATGGCTATTGCAACACTATATCTATCATTATTATTATGCATCCGCGTGTTATTGTTTTMGCCAATCCTTTGTTTTGTGCGATGTGCCTTGCTTTTAGAGCATCGTTGCAATTTTTCTAAATGAATCCGATTCCAGTTGATTCGCTCRTATTCCAGCACACAAGCCCATTGGTTGTGTTTCGTTCCATTCCGTTTTGCCTCCTACGCAYCCGATGCTACGACGCCCTCCTAATCACCTGGTCCAAGTCGCCCGGTGCAAATATAGACCGGCCGTCGTCCAGCTTGACCTTGTAGGGGGCGAAGGATCCCGGTGGCCAGGTCTGCTCCGAGTACCACAGCATCGTGACCGTGCCGGGCGCCCAGTCCTTCTCGGCGTCGGGGCCGATCCGGCACAGGACCTTCTCCCCGACGTCGAACCGCAGCTGGGGGAACTCCGGTTCCTCGTACGGCGGCCACTCGGCGTCCTCGCCGGCGTGCCACTTCCCCAGGACGTCGGTGGTGGGGAACTTGCTCTGGAGTTCTTCCTTCGTCACCTCGTAGGCCTCCATCGGGAGGCCGAACATACCGTCCTTCCCACTGCGGTTGGGGGTTTTGCAATCGAGGCGATCGGTGCACAAACCCGCAGACACACACAGCGAACATACACGACAAAAGAAACAAACGTTTTCGGAGGTATTTGAAAGCGTTTGTTTTACAAAAGCGCACACGGACGAGAATCCACAGAAAACAGCAGCACAGAGGCGTGAGACAACAACGAAAATTCCGCTCGGAGGCGCACATCGCATCGATTGCCATTACGCCACGCCACGYCMCGTCCCGTAACGTTTCGTTCCTGGACCGAACTGGTTCGYACTCCGCTCGATTCGGCGTTGGGTTTTGGTCGTTTGTTCTCACCTTTCAAAATTGATCGTCACGAGCGTATCGACGGGGGAGCAATCCGGATCCCCGCAGACGATTTCCTGCCCCGAGACCTGTGCGGCCTCCCGCATGKACTCGGGTATCAATTCCAAGGACCACTTCTCGATGTTTCGAAAGGCGTCCTTGCGCCGCTGCTCGGCAATGTTCCTTTCGCCCAGTGCCTCCGGATTGAACATGTTGTGGTGTGGTGCTCTGGTCTAGTATTGTTCGCGTGTTGTGTTGTGTGTTGTGTGTTCGTCGTTGTCTAGATTCGACTCGATGGGTGCTTTCGTATTTTTGCGCGCCCGGTTGCCCGATCGGATGTGTTGCGTCGTTCCTCCTAGCTAGATTGCTTCGTTCCTGTTGACAATAGAGAATCACGGTAAGGATCCACTGATGCAGTACTTTTTTTTCTTTTCACCTGTACGGTACGGTTCAGAGTTATAATTATGATCGTGTCACGAGCAACATTCACGGTAATACTGTGCTTACAATGGGGTTGTGTATGTGTGTGTGTGTGTTTGTGTGTCCTAGAACAGTTTCGATCGAGTCTAGTCGCTCTGCGTTAATCTCTTCTTCGCCGCGTTTATGCTGTTCCAGTAACTACAGTAATTTATCTACTGGCACGACTATGCGCATTATCGATGATACAGTACCGTAGTACGGTACCGGATTGATTTCTAGAATTGGGAAGTCTGGTGTCGCATGGTGGTACGAGTTACCGAGAGCCGTGTGATTCATCTCTGATCCCTAAAAGCAAATGTTACCTACCCCAGCCAGGGCACCGTTAAGTCTAACGCACGATGGGTCGCTGATGGATGTTTGGCTGTCGCCCAGGTCGCGCAAATGCGCGTAAAGTATTTACAGTACTTTACGGTACGAAGAATTTGTTTCAGTAACTMTGAATAGCACAGATATTACAGTATGTAGTGTATATTAGGAACGTACCTACAGTATGTGTTGTATTTTGGGCTACAAACTGAACCATCGAATACTACGAGTTCATACCGTACCGTACGGCAGGATAAATACAGTTTTTACCGTCGTTGATTTGATGCCAAAGATTTCAAAGAAGGAATCCACGGTTCAGTTTGTTAGAGCATATGAGCTTAACATGCCTGCTCTGTGCGAGTAACATACCAATTGTACTACTACTTCTGGMACCCGTAACTCGTACGTRCTGGTATGAGAAGCCAATAATTTGAAATACGACGAATACGATGTACGAGTAGTTGTACCAGACAACTACGGTATTCTACCATCTGATCCGTGTTCGTGAAAATTATGACTTTGAGAAACCAAGAAACACAAGGACTACTCGAGTGTTAGTACTAAGTACTTGTATCATCAACATCACAAACAACACGATAACCAAACCGTGGTGTGGAAATCTATTCCGGAGCAAGACAAACGATACCGACAACCACACCCGCAATAGCACCAGCAACACACTCACACACCGCAGAATAAAATAAATCTCACAGAACAGCATGGACGGCGATTTGCTGGGCGTCGGACTCCCTCCCTCCGACAACACCGCCGCCAACCRTACCAATCACGCCGGCACCGGCGCGGAGCCGTCSTTGCTCGACKTTGCGGCTCCGCCACCCGCRCCACGGGGGARCGGTGGCGGAAGCGGTGTGGATCTCTTCCAATCGTTGCCGGTCCCCGTGCCGGTGCAGGCGGCTCCCCTGGACGACCTGCTGGGGTTCGGAGCACCGACGACGGSAACGACGACGACRACGGCGGCGCCCCCGGCGAACGCCGCTGCGGAGGGCCCGCTGGTCGACCTCTTTGGCGGCACGGTGCCAGCGCCACCAGCAGCGATGGATCCGTTTGGTGCGCAGGTCCCCGCCGCAACCGCTGCTTCCGGGCGGGACAGCTTTGCCCCGGTGGCGGCGGCGGCTGCTGGCGACCCGATGGCGGACCTGTTCGGGGGACCRCCTCCGGCACGGCCGCAATCGCAAGYGCCACCACTGGCGATTCCGGACCCGKTCTCCGCTGGTTCTACGGGCGCGGTTGCAGACGAAGACCCAGGGGGTTCGGGGGAGGARTCCCCGCCCCTGCCGGCCACCGATTCCGCAGCAACAGAAACAAAGCCCCCGCCGRCCAGCGACGAAACGGCTCCGGGCGGAACACCACCGACGCCGTTKCTCCCGATCGATGGAAGCRGTRCCACCCCGGAGGCGCCACCGTCGTGTCAAGAAGACGTGCCCGCCGCGCCCSTTGCAGAAGGGGACGGCGCCACGCCCGGGGAGGAAGAGAARAAAGAACAGGAGTTGCCGCCGGCGTCTCTGAGTGTTCCCGAACAAGGCAGCAACAGYGGCACTAGCGCTRCCGCGGMAGAACCCGCGGCCCCTTCCCCTGGCGGGGGGGAGCCGGAAAACGAARGAGAAAAGCCCAGCGGTGCCGCCGAGGAGACTGCGCTTTTGCCAGAAACCACGGTGGAAAACACCGACTCGTCAACGGCCCCTACCACCGCCRCCACGCCCAGCGGTGTCGCCGASGAGACATCACTTTCACCAGGGATCTCCGCAGAAACCGCGYCCRGCGGTGCCKCCGAGGAGGCAGCACATCCACCARAGAACACCGTGGAAACCACGGACTCGTTGGCGGCCCCCACCACCGACGCTACGCCCAGCGGTGCCGCCGAGGAGACGGCTCYTTCACCAGAGAACACCGTGGAAACCACGCCCAGCGGTGCCGCCGAGRAGGCAGCACATTCGCCAGAAACCACCGTGGAAACCACGGACTCGTTGGCAGCTCCAACCATCGACGCTTCGCCCGAAAACATCAGTCCTAGCGAGTCGGGGGATGTTCCAATCGAGACGGRCCAACAAGCCGCTAGCAGCAATCAACAAGGCGAGGAACCGGTTTCAAACGACGAGAAACATCCCGTGGCCTCGCCGCTTGAAAGCACCGACGAGACCACGCCCCCCGCGGACGACGYGGCATCCGAATCGACCGATGGGAGCRGGATGGAGGACATATCACTCGAGATGGACCAGCAAGCCGCTAGCGAGGGACYAGCGGCAAACGAGGATCAGAACYYCGTGGCCTYGCCAGTAGGAACCARCGAGGAAGCCGCGGAGTCTGTAATAGCCCCGACGGGCGATGCGAAACCAACAGAAGCAAAGACCCAGCCGCCACCCGCYGCCGCATCCAGCCCTGGGACCCTCGGAGATGGCAAGGGGCAGACTGCAGCGGGAACCAARCCCGGGCCTACGCCACCAGCACCGTTGGCAAGCGCTGCCAGCCGCGCCGGTGGTGAGACCGGCAATCCCATGAACAGCCCGAAGATAGCCAACCGGTTCGCGAGCCTGAAGAACATGGCCGGGAGCATCCAGCTGCCGCAGAAAAAGGCGGGAGCCGCGAATCGATTCGCGAGCTTCAAGAGCATGGCGGGGAAAGTCGGGGCCAAGGCAAAAGCAGAACTCGCCAAGGGAAAAGCGGAGCTCGCCCCGAAGGTCTCCCAGCAGCTCGCGGGGGTGCAGCTGTCGAAACGCCTCGCGAACGTGGCGGATTGGGCCGAGGGCAACACCAATCCCGGCAGGCCGAACCGCAACGCTGTTCCGTCGAAGGATGCGGCCCATCCTCCCAGAAGCGCTCCCCCTTCTGCTGTYCCTAAACCCCAGCCGCAAACCGACGCCAAGACTCCTCCCGCCCCCGTCGTGGCCGAGCTTCCTGCCGAGTCCACCGCCAATCTCTCCTCGACAATCTCCCAGACAGGCATTTTGCGGGGCGATTCGGAAGGTTCCGTGCCGACGCCATCCGCTCGGCAGGCTGGAGTTCTCGGTGCAAGCAACGCCGATGCGCAAAAAGCGATTGCATCATCGAACACGACTGCATTTGCTGCTCCAGARCTGTCAAAAACTGGGCAAGCATCGCTGCCATCGCAAGAGGAGCACCCATCGCCTTTGAATACGCCGCATGAGCCAAACGAAGATGCCAAAGATACATCAGATTCGAACGAGGTTGTACTTACTGATTCTACACAATCCRTTCCATCACCATTCGTGGAGGAAGAATGTTTAGCCCAATCATCATCCAGTGCAGTCGATACGGATGATGCACTGAAGACCGAAAAATCTTTTATGAGCAGCGAGGGATCAGSAGACRACGACACATTATCATCCCCCAYCYMAAATGAACCTATGAAAAGTCCTCCTGTAAGCGACCAATCTTCTTCTAAAGACGATGGCAATCCATCTTCGTCCGAGATAGAAATCCAGAAAGAAACAMATGGAAAGAACGGCGCGACGGAAACTCATCCCGCTGGATCCATACCCTCACAATCTACACCCCCGTCCGATCAGATCGAGGTGCTCCAGAAAGARCTGCATGCCGCGCACACCCTGATCATGCAGCTCCAACACCACGAGAATGTCGAGGAAGAGCGACCGGGGGATGCGGTGATGGTGGAGCTCCAGGCCAGCCTACAAAAAGAAATGAACCGCCGGGCCGAGGCCGAGGAGAAAGCACGTGTTGCCATGGCGCAATCCCAGAGGATCGGAGAGGAATACAAGCTCTTCAAGATCGAATCAAAAGCCAACCTGGACGATCTGACHAATAAACTCGAAWCCCTGACCCAAGAAAAGGACGCATTTGAGAAGGAGCTGATAGACATTCGCGAGGAGCGTGACGAACAGGCTCGGAAGGAAATGGCTCTGACGACGCGCCTGAATGCGGCGAAAAAGAAGGAAGCCGTGAAAGCAAACGCTGCCGAACACTACGAAGAACAAGTAGACCAATTGGAATCTTCCGTGAAAGACTACAAAACCCAGGTCGAATCATTGTCGGCGGAGCGCACACAGCTGCAAGAGGAACTGGAAGAATGGAAGCAATATGCCGAGAAGCGCACGGAGCAGCTCGAAAACAACCTGAAAGACGAAAAGAAACTCAACGACGAACGAAAGCGGAAGATGAAAGCTTTTGTCGAGGCCAAGACGGAAGAGGTGCGCCTGGCAAAAACAGACTATTTGTCGCTGCAAACGGAAATGGACCAAAACACGCACTCTCTCAAGGAACTCAACCAGCGATACAAACAACTCCATGCGCAGTGGGTGCAATCGCAGACCCGAAACCGCGAGCTGCAACGCGATGCAATGAAAATGAAGAAAGACTCGGAAAAGATGCACAAGGTAGGGGACTCATTGGAAGCCCGGTTGTCTCGTTCCGCGCAACAATCCGAAGACCACAAAAACAAGCGCATCCACGCACGAAACGAGCTGATGTCGGTCCTGGGGCAACTGGAGGCAGAACGAGCCGTTAACAGCCGGTTGCAAGAGTCCATYAAATTGACCCTCACTCCGAAGGCGCTGTCGCAGCAGCAAACGATCCGGGAAGCCCTAGACGAATTCGAGGGAGCCCTGCAAAAGTTGTCGGTCCGTATCGGACGCCCTTTGCCGCCACCCATGTCGAACAGCGCACCGGGTGGGTTCAGCGACGTCCAAAGCACGGACGATGGGTCCATCGGTAGGAATCCAACGAGTGGCGGAACCGCCGACGGGGAGGAAGGCAGCACTCCGTCGGGCGCTGTGTCCCTCTCCGAAGTCAACACGAACCGAGCCATTCAGCAACTCGAGAAYGAGACCCAGCGTGTCAGCCAGAACATAATGGACTTTTCTGCCGGCATCGAACGCATGAACAATTTGCTAAACGGTCCCGGTACGAGGAACTGCGTCGATGTCCTCTCGCAGCTGCTCTCGATCAATGGCACTCCTCCGCCCATCGGCGAACCATCCCGTAGGGGTGTTACGAGGGGAGGGCAGCGCTACGGCCAAATCTGAGGGCCGATCCAAGACCGCCGGGGACGGTGCATGCTGTATTGGTAAATGCTACCGACACGCGAAAGTCCGATATGGTTTTTGTCGCAAACAATCAACCAACTAGCTAAATAGAAGACACTAAAAAAGATAGACCAAAGATGACAGAARCAAAAGAAAATTACTCCGTGCCAAAATCGAACACAAACTGCGTTCAACGATGACAAGAATAACACGTATTGCGATTTTTGTCGCCGCTACCAATCCTGGTTGTTTCGGAATTCATTTAWTTTACCGTTGGTTGGTGGAAGTAGCGATTGGAATGGTTACGACCTAAGTTCCAAAATCTTYAGGGAAAAAGAGAGTCGAAAACTCAGATGGGAACACTAAAAATTAAGATTCATTCTTCAAACTGAGCCTCGAGGAATTAGGAATGAGTAGAAGTAGAAGTACTATTTTGTTGAAATTTCGAAAACTCCCTTCACAATTCACAACATCCGGTAGATTCTTCAAGCTTCGCTAGTTTTTAAAAACCGATACCTTCTCTTACTTTTTTCGAAGTGGATAAACATACCGTGGTGTTCTCGTATGTTTGGACACAATTTACGGGTACGTACGAGTAGTTGAAGATGTGAAAAATCCTACAGTGCGCGCGAACAATCCTTGTCACGTGGAAAGCAAGGGCCCCCTTGGACGCTTTGTATTCCGATGGATACGTTGCTGTCATCGTAGTAGGTAGTATTTGTGCTCGCAGTGCCCAGTTTGAAAAGAATGGAACTTGTCATTTTTTTTGATTTCGGAGTTCGTTTTCTTCTGGGAAGTACTGTACCCCAATTCTACGTTCATTTGGGTACAGTAAGATAAGAGTGACTCAAAATGGAACGAAGAAAAGGGTGCGCGATCACGAGTGTTATTCAATTCTCAAATCAAAATTCAACGAGAGAATGACGACCTGAATCCTCGATGCGACTTCTTGTTTCGTTTCTCGTTTCTCTTCCAACGTATTCGTGCTKTAGCAGGGTACTGTACTGTAGGTACTCGTATTACGGTCAACTTGTGTCACTTATTGGTACGGTACCATACCTCCACCGGGACTGTTCAACASACCAGAGTACCGAGAAYAACGCYATCGCAGGTATTTTCGTGGACGGGAAATTCAGACCCGAGAGTACAAGAAGGAGAGAGAGCGGGTAAGCGCCCAACGGATAAAAAGCTAGCTAGCTATGGGGAACGCACTCCAKAGAGCAACAGACAGGTGCTCCATCGCGCTCGAGGCTGCGACCTCCACCCCGACYGGGACGGTGGCCGTGGCCGCTGGCGCCTTGGTTTCCGCGGGGATGGTGGCCAAGAACCGGAAGCGAATCTGCAAATCGGTCTGCGAAGACCTGCCCCTGTACTTCCTGACGTACCACCGATCCACCGTGGTCACCGTCTTTGGGCTGCCCCTTTCCCTTCTGTGGAACTTTGCCATGAACGCCCGCTCGAAATACATCCACACCTTTCACTCSGCACCCCACCTGCACAACGATCGGGTGGCCACCATCCAGAAAAAGGTCCGAAACCGGCCCAACAAAAACGCTCCCATCTGCACGGCCCGACCCGGCTGGCAATCCGTTTCCCTCTCGTACCGAAATTACAAGAGCAAGTGGAACGCGATCGAAATGCCGCTCTACGATATCCTAGAAGTGGACGAAGGGTCCATGATCGTGCACGTCGAGCCCTTTGTGTCCATCGGGCAGCTGACGCACGCCCTGAATCCAAAGGGTCTCACCCTGCCCGTGGTTCCGGAAATGGACGATCTAACGGTCGGAGGACTCATCAACGGAACCGGCATCGAGTCGTCCTCGCACAAGTACGGCTTGTTCCACGAGATTATCACGGAACTGGAGCTCATGCTGGGGGACGGATCCGTCGTGGTTGCCACTGCCGACAACGAGTACAGCGACCTCTTCCACGCCATTCCGTGGTCCTACGGAACCCTCGCCCTCTTGCTCAGCGCCAAGCTCCGGCTGATCCCATGCAAGCAGTACGTTAGGCTGACCTACACCCCCCACCGCACGCGGRAGGGGTACGTCGAACACATGCGGGAACTCTCGGGGGAATACAACAAGGAGGTCGAGAACGGAAGGAAAAACACCCCCGTCCCAATGTTTGTCGAGGGCCTGGCCTATTCGCTCGAGTCTGCCGTGGTCATGGCGGGCGACTTTGTCGACGCAAAGGACGTTCCGCGGGGGTCCGCCAATCGGATCAGCCTGTGGTGGAAGCCCTGGTTCTACAAGCACGTGGAAAAGATCCTGAACGAAGGCGAGGAAACAGTTGAGTACATACCACTCCTGGATTATTACCACCGCCACACACAGTCGCTGTTTTGGGAGATGGAGCTCATGATCCCCATCGGAAACYACCCCGTGTTTCGTTGGCTGCTTGGGTGGCTCATGCCTCCAAAGGTATCCTTCCTTAAGATCTCGCARACGGAGCTGACCCGGAAGCTCACCGAACGGACCCACGTGGCCCAGGATTTCCTGGTCCCGACCCGCAAGATGTTCGACTTTCTKGCCATTTGCGACGAGGATTTCGACAGGATCTACCCCCTCTGGCTGTGCCTGCACGACCACGCGCCGATGCCCGGGTCCCTGCTGAAGGACCCGGCGGTCCCCAAACCATCCAACGGCCACGAGATGTACATCGACATCGGCGTCTACGGCCTGCCCCGCTGCGTGCACGAGAAGCGCGAGGAGGACTTTGACATGAAGCGATCGATGCGCGCCGTCCTGAAAAAGCTGGTGGACATGAACGGCTTTCAGATGYTGTACGCCGACGTCTTTTTTACCCGGGAGGAATTCGAGGGGATGTTCGACCACACCGGATACAAGAAGCTGCGGGCCAAGTACAAGGCGGACGGCGGGGCCTTTAAGGAGGTCTACGACAAGATGAACATTCTCTTATAGATCAAACCACCCCCCAAAAACAAGAAATTAAAATCATAGCGCAGGTAAACAAAGAACAACAACCCGAGTTGGAATCCAGTGATGGAATGCTGATGCCTGCCTACCCCATGGTTCCATTGATTGACGATGGTTCACAGCAAAGAAAATGCACGACGAGGGATCGATTTTAGAATGAAGAAGGAAGAAGCTACGTTTCAAGTTGTGTTTGCATGTATAGCAGAATAATATAGTAGTATGATTTTTCACAACCATGGTACAAGAGACGATTGGAGTCGCAAATAACTTTGTCCAACATAAGAAACAACGACTTATTGGACATTTACAAAATGCTAGTTTGAATTCGTGCTGATCAAAGCAATTCATCCGTCCAAATTAGCTGTATACAGAGTTCCCTTTTCGAGGCATACTACTTCCGTAGGCCCAATCTGCGCTCCTCCCGAATCAGCTTGGATCGTTCCATGGCCAGCGACTTCTTCAGGGCATACTTCTTGGCTTGGGTCAGGGACAAGTTTTCGAGCTGGGCCTTGTATTTCTCCACGGATTCTTGGAGTTCCTTCAGGACGTTGGTGTCGTTCTCCTCCTTCTTCTCTTCTGATTCTGATTCTGCCCTGCCAACGCCAGCACTCTTGTGGTTGAGTTTCGTGGTTCGTTCCGGTAGCTTATCTTCCTGCTGGACGCAAGCCACAGAGGCTGGAGGTTCCTCTCCGACCGAACGACTGGGCATAGCGGAAGGTATATCATCAATGTCAGTATCCTTGACAACGGCGGCATGTTCTTCCATTGGTTTTGTTCCCGGAACCAATTTCTCTAGACGCTGCCGCTCCTGAATCAGGTCGATGGCAGCATTGCGTTGGTCGACCGTCATTCGATTCGCCAGGTACTCCAAGATGTCTGAACAGGGACGATCGAGAACGTCGAGCCGGACGGCGCGCTGAGGATTCCCCTTTAGGTTTAGGGAAAGCATAGAAGGCGAATAGCTCGCCAGAAGCCCCAGGATTGGGGGGATGCGCTTTACACGGTTGTGTTCAAGCGACAGACGCTGGAATCCCCTGCAATGAGCTGCCAAAAGGATGGCGAGCGGCTCRATGTCTTCGATGTGGTTTTCGGAGAGCTCAAGTGTGGTCAACGAGGCCGGCAATCTTTTCCAGTCTCCAACATTGTGAATGCGGTTGTTGAACAGATTCAAGACCTTGAGTGCCGGGAAACAAAGAACTTCGGAAGTTGTATTGATGGGAAAGGAAGTAAGTCGATTAGAAGACAGGTCAAGATGCGTAAGAGAATTCAGCGACCAWGATCCAGACAWAGCAACCGATGCTTTCGCTCGAAACCATCCCGCCTCTGTCAATGCTTCGCTTGTTAACAGATTCTTTCCGAGGCGCAATTCCTTCACCGTTCTGCTGCAGGAGGTTTGCAACGATGGAGGCAATTCAGTAAACTTGTTTCYGACCAGTGAGATTGTTTCCACGTTTGGCAAGCAACGCGAGAGCAAGTCGCTCGGCAATGTGTCGAGCTCATTGGAGTCTAAAATGACTTGGCCGGTGATTTCTCTGGCAATGTTTGTGCTCGTTGTCAGCAACTCTCTCATCAAAACTTCAAGAGTATTCGGGTTGGCTTGCGCGAGTTTCCTCTCCAGATCTAGCGTCGTGCGGCCCTWGGACGACAAGGCAGTTGTCAAMAAGTTCGATGCAGCT